TGTGTGTGTGTGTGTGTGTGTGTGTGTGTGTGTGTGTGTGTGTGTGTGTGTGTGTGTGTGTGTGTTCAGCGTGACGCCTCCTCTGCAGCAGACGTCCCCCCCGAGCTTCAGGACCCCGGCATGTATCGCTACCTGACCTCAGATCAGCTGTTCAAACTTCTCGACTGCCTTCTGGAGTCACATCACTTCGCAAAGGATTTCAACTCCAGCGCAGAGCAGAGGACCATTCTGTGGAGAGCCGGTAGGGGATCAATATCATATAATGACTCTCCCTGGTCCCCATCACACACAGAGCATCAACTAGTTGCTGAGCAGTGTCCTTCACATGCTGATATCCAAGAGAGGGAGTTCCACAGTCACAAGATGGAGGAATAGAAAGCAGTATTCAATGTTTACTTCAGATTAGCTCCACGTCAGAAATGATCATGCTTGTCATATGTCTCTCTCCATAGAGGCTGAATCATCATGTTAATCACATAGCTATCATATGCCTCAAACAGTCCTGATGCTCTTCTAGGTAATCACACATCCTGTCATGTTCTCAGCTACAGTTGATACCTTTGTTAGCATGTGGAGCTCATGTTGGAAGAGGAGACTCAGTGTTTTACCAACACTGATAGATTAATAACGAGTGTGTGTGTTTGTGTGTGTTTGTGTGTGCAGGGTTCAAAGGGAAGTCGAAGCCTAACCTCCTGAAGCAGGAGACCAGCTCTCTGGCCTGTGGGCTGAGGATTCTCTTCAGGATGTACAAGGACCCGGGCCGGAGCGACGCCTGGGACGAGGTGCAGAGACGCCTGCTCAGGTGAGATGAGAAATATAAAAAACACACCTCAAATCCTTTAGGGCTAATAATGACTTAACCTTCTCTACATCGCCTCGTTCACACATTAAATCAACAATACAAATACAGCTACAGATTCTACAAGCATTTCCTTCATATGAGATTTAAAATGCTCAGGTTTTGCACCTCATGAAATATAGACTACGTGTATTACAGAGTTCATGTCACCAAGATCGTTGGCTACTGAGAGATATGCAAAATTACTGCATTTAGCACGACACAAACCTCCGCTGTGGATTTCACAATAAAATACAGTAAAACTATGGTTGCAGTTAATTATTTACACTTTGATATTTAGCAGGTTTTATTTCAACATACTACAAGGCAAGTTTATGTATACAGCACCTTTCAGCACAAGGCAGAGGTGGGACCAAGGCATTGTTTTGCAAGTCTCAAGTCAAGTCTCAAGTCAGGATGGGCAAGTTCAAGTTCAAGTCTTAAACGAGTTCTTATGTGCTTTTCACCAAATGTTATCACATCCATCAACAGAATAATACTTACTAATCAAACTGCTCTTTATTAGTCACATTAATAATCCGTTTCCTCTCTGCTGGTAAAGTAATGTGTTTTCTTCTATTTGAAGAGGGATCAGTAAGGCTACCGTGACGGTTTGATTCAGAAGGAGTTTAAAGTATAAGATCCCTGATGTCGAGGTGACAGAATGTTTGTCTCCACTGTGTGCAACATGTCATAAGAGACCCACCATCTATCTTTATGATAATGTGCAGCGAGGCGTCTCTATGGGGAAAAGAACACCTGAGTCTAGATCCCTCTGCAGGTGGTACTTAGTATATTTTGATGCTAATACTTTTGTACTTTTACTTGTAACATTTTGAATGCAGGACTTTTTATTGTAACCGAGTATTCCTACAATCTGGAACTTTTACTCAAGTACAAGATCTGAACTTCTCCCCCTGTCAGTACCATATGTGTTCGGGGGCGTCGCTTACCAATGACGTCACGCATTGTGATTGGCTGTACGGTAATCGCACGCTGAGTGGTTACCAATAAAAAAACCCTGCTCTGAAGGTTATTTTCATTTTACAAATCCTGCACTCAGCTCGGCTTTCTCCAATATCTTTGAAATGCAGCCAGACGCTGCTTCTTTTTTCGGTTCTCGCTGATTTCTTGACTTTTTCCGACGCGCTTGTATTTAAATCCAGCTCCCCGTCGCTCTGTAGCTGGCCTGTCCCACTACACCTGCTGTCTTTGGAGCGTCTGCCCGGCCCCCACCCTTCTTTCACATAATGGTATGATCCTAGTGTGTCCTCGCATATGATTGGCCGCATGGTGGCTCAGCTAAATAAAGACCCGCCCCTGCCTGCATGGATTCTCAGCGAGAGTAGGAGCGGCTGGAGATTCTGCTCTCCCCGACGGGAGTCTGCTCTTCTAGCGGCATCTCGCGATCGGCGTGTTGGAGACCCCTGACTTAAATGATCAAGTCACGTCAAGTCAGAAGGCTCAAGTCGAGTAGCAAGTGTTTTGTGATTTTGTCGAGTCCAAGGTCATCAAATTGGTGACTGGAGTCCAAGTCATGTGACTGGAGTCCACACCTCTGGCCCAAGGCGATTCAAAGGGCTTTAAAACAATGAAAGACATTAAGAAACATATTATAAAGTGGCATCTTAAAACACGAATAGCAGGTTCATGAATACAAGTTACTGTGCAGTGTGAGATTTGAATAGTTCAAGTAGAAGAAAAGTCTTCAGCCTGGATTTAAAAGTAGTCCGAGTTTTACACTATGACTTCCTCCATGTTCTCTATAAGTGTAGATATAAATGTGTGTGTGTGTGTGTTTCAGTGTGTGCAGCGAGGCCTTGGTGTACTTCCTGTCTCTGACGTCAGAGAGCCACAGAGAGGCCTGGACCAACCTGCTGCTCCTCTTCCTCACCAAGGTGATGAAGATCAGCGACGACAGGGTGAGGAAGAACACACATCATTTACAACCTCATCAGATATCCAAAAATAACAGACTGGGCGGTTCTCCTGATTTAAAGCTTTCAGTCAGTCATGCCTTGTGCTCTGGTTCAATGTGTGCTTGCTTTGGTTTCAAGCGATTTACCTGCAGGACTTTGTTCCTCTTCAACCAATTGCACTTATTGAAGATAGAAGTGACGTGTGCAACGTGTCCAATCAGAGCCTGTATGCCAATCAGTTACATGAAGGCTCTTATTAACGTTAGAGAACATTTGTGGTGGTTTAACAGTGATGGTGTGAACTGTACCCACATTACATTGTTGTTGTTAATGGGATGTTTGCCCCGTAGAGCTCTGCTGAAGTGGAAAAGTATGCAGCCTTTTAAACAAGATGTGTTTCTCTCTGTCCCTCCCTCACAGTTTAAAGCCCATGCGTCCAGATATTACCCCCTGCTGTGTGAGATCATGCAGTTCGATCTGATCCCAGAGCTGAGGGCCGTCCTCAGGAAGTTCTATCTGCGAATTGGCATCGTTTTCAACATCGCTCAGCTGCCGGAGCCCCATGATGAAGAGGAGGAAGAGGAAGAGGCACACTGATGCTGCTACACACACACGCCTTTACTCACACGTCCTGTCGGCGGACCCCAACTACTGACTAACAGCTCTGTGACAGAAGGATCTATATTTCCACAACGTGTGCTTCTTACTGTATTTAAAGGAGAAGACGGTCCGATGCAAAGAGACAGACGTAGTGACTGTGTGTCCTCGAGGCTAGCGTTAGCACTGCTAGCTCCCGGGGAACCGCTGTGTAATATAATCTGATAACACTAGATCTCATTTATTTTCTGTATTTGGTTCCTCTGGATTTGCTGCACTTGATCTCTCTCTGAATGCACTGGAGATTTGACTCTGTGATCATTTATTTCTCTGCAGATTATCAGCGTGGAAAGTGAAGGTTAAATTATTCCATTTGATATGTTTTAGGTTTTTATTTGATTTAGATACTGGGGCTTCTGACAGATCAGAGCTAATGAAAGCTGCTTCGAGTCACTAGTCCATGTTTAGGTTTCACTCGTGTACAAAATCAGAAGTTAATAATATATGTAATGTTTGGTTTGGGGAGAGCTATCTGTATAGAGAAGACGACGTTAGCTGTGCTTTAAGTTTGAATGGGAAGCGTTCCTGTAGAAAACAACATGTATATGAAACAGCAATGTAAAGTTTTCTATGTCGCAAAAAATGTACGACTTTCTGTACGAGACTTCATCCGGCATCCTAATCAGGTTCTAGGTCAATAAAGTTTTTGAACTTGGCTCATTTGAAAAAGGAATCAGTGATTTCTAAAGGACAGAACTTTTCTCACACACGAAGTTAAAGGTACGTTTTATTCAGAAACTCTGCAGGGTGCATTCAGCCAAAGAACATGTGTGTACGGCACATTCACAGGTACACACGTTCAGCTCCTGCAGGGTTAGAGTGCGGGTCGCAGCCATTCCTCCGTGGCAACAGAGTGCAAAGAGAACTGGTCCTCATCTGATGAGAAAAGATGGAACTGTATTTATTAGGAAACAGACATTATGGGATGTTCTACAGGTTAGCGTGAGGTTCTCCTCCAGAGTGCATCTGCTGTAGGTGACGCACTCTGCGGGAAACCTCATACAACTTCTTTCAAAGCATGTTTCTGTTTTAAGAGCCGCTTTGCCGGAAAGGCATTTCGTGTGTGTGTGTGTGTGTGTGTGTGTGTGTGTGTGTGTGTGTGTGTGTGTGTGTACGTAACTTACGTTAGTAGTACGTACTATATGTAACTTAGTTAACGTTAACGTTAAGTTA